GTCGTATGTAGGAACCCGGGTTGCGTAAGTGCGAGAAGATCTCCTTCCTGAGGTCGTCCTGCAGTCCCTGCGCGAAGAAGAGGACGTGGTCCTTCTCGTGGCGGTACGGCAGGTCAGCCATAAGGCGTTGGAATTCCGCAATGTAGCATTGTAAGGAGTTTGGTCCGGAACCCTGCGTCAAGGCAAACATAGCAAGCTGCGCTTGATAGAGTCCCGTGATGGGGACGGGAGCCATCGGAGGATGACGAAGACGAAGATGACGAAGACGACGATGACGAAGATGACCAGCGGAGCGAAGACGAAAGCGATGACGACGAAGACGATGAAGACGAAGGCGGAGCGAAGCGTATAGGCCGGATCGTCTAGATCGATACCAACTGAAAGGGCATAGGCTCCGTTTCTCGTTGGGATGCCACGATGATTACAAAGAGGGCCGAGCGACTTAAGCCAGCTAACAACCTACAAGATGTAACAATGATGACATAACAAACTAAACAACAACAACGACTTAAATAGTTATCCAGAGCCTAGGCGGCGCCGGAAGGTCGTACATTATCCGTATCTCAAATGATCGTCCACGAGTAAAGTTAACGACTTAACAACTAACAAGAAAACCTAACACGGAGGATATCAAGGCTATTTGTCTTTCATAAGTGCAGCCGAAGGATGAGCAACGACTGCTCCTTCCAAACACGACACGACGCGATACAACGCATATCCGCTTCCGAATGGCTGATGCTTCGGTTAAAAGGACGGCGGAGAGAATGGGCAATGTCCTGAAACATGGCGCCCGTGGCGGGATTCATGTCACGAAGGCTCCCGCTGGGTCATCCCATGCCTCGAAAGATGTGCAACAGGGAGGCATCCAGGTGCATCCACCAAGTCCTTGCAGGCCGGTGCAGGGCTGCTACGAACGGCAACTACCCCCAGTAGGTCCCGGTACGCGCTTTACCCGCTTCCCTCTGATGTGCCCGTTACTGTTACCGGCTCTGCACGCGAAATATCTAGCCTTCCCTGTATCAGGACAGTATTCCCTTTGTCCTTTGATTACTTAGCAAATCGTTGACTATGCCTCTTCCTCCTCCCAATCCTCCGGGTGCTTCCGAACCCGCGCTGAGCCACATCTCTTTTAAGAACTCAACCTCCTCACATCCTTGTTTCTGCTAGGAGCTGTGGAAGCTCATCTTTGTCCAACTGGCGGGCTCCCTGGAGCCTACAAATGGCGTCCGCGGTCCAGGCGTGGTAACGGCCGACATCCTCCGAGCCGGGATGACTTGCCGGGCCATGTTACAGGCCGCATCCGCGGGGCTCTGGGCGCTATCTGCTACGGTGCCCATCGTGAGCCGCAACGACGTTCCACTGCTGCTGCCGGCTCTGGTGATGCCGCCTAGCTCAGGCGCTGCTGGACCAGCTCGGATTGACCGATCAGTACACGGGCTCAGGGAGGTCGGAGGAGAGCCTGAGTGGGCTCTGCTCGACGAAGTGCTGACCCAGCGGCCAGTGCTTTGCACGGAGGCGCAGCTTCGGTCTGCCCTGCAGCAGCTAAATCAGCCTGTGGAAGGGAGCAGAGGGGAGCTGGTGGCGCGCGTCGAGGAGTTGCTCGGGTTGCCGACGGTGGCGGCGGCGGAGGTGACGGCGGGGCAAAGGAGGGAAGCGGTGACGGCGGCGGCAGGGCAAAGGAGGGAAGCGGTGACGGCGGCGGCGGCGGCGACGGCGGGGCAAAGGAGGGAAGCGGTGACGGCGGCGGCGGCGATGACGGCGGGGCAAAGGAGGGAAGCGGTGACGGTGGCGGCGGCGGTGACGGCGGGGCAAAGGAGGGAAGCGGTGACGGTGGCGGCGGCGGTGACGGCGGGGCAAAGGAGGGAAGCGGTGACGGTGGCGGCGGCGGTGACGGTGGGGCAAAGGAGGGAAGCGGTGACGGTGGCGGCGGCGGCGGCGGCTGCGACAGCTCCGCTGGCGCTGTCTAGACCCCCGCTGCCGGCACGTCTGCGTGTAGCGGTTCTGCAGGAGCGGTTGGCACAATGCGGGTCAGCAGTGGCGCCGCCACTGAATGTACGGCTGGCGGCGGCGCTGCGTGACATGCTGGAGGCCGGCAACGGCCTTGTTGGCGCGGCGCTAGGACAGCCCTGCCTGGCGGCGATGCGGCGGGACCTGTGCGCACTGTACGGCAGTACGGAGGGAATTCTGGCAGCGCACCGGGCTTGCTTGCCAGGCCTTATACAGCTTCGCGCGCGGCGCGGAGCAGAGGTGCTGGGAAGGGCGTTGGAGGCCAAGGAGGCCGCCGAGGAGGACAAGACATTGAAGGGCGTGAGTTTGCTGATGGGGGCGTCGTTCTGTTGCCGTATCCCCATCGGACGAGCGTCGCACTTAAAACTCCTGCCCATCATAGCATACCATACCGTGCAATACCCTGCACGTGCTAGATTGCCCCGTGCCCCTAGGAGAAGTGTAGACTAAGTGCATGCACACCATTTATATATGTGTGTGTGTTACATGGTCGTGGGTCCTCATTTGTAAACATTGCTAGGGGAGCAGATTGTCTTTATGCCTGCCAGGGGTTAAGAGGCCTCGACTCGGAAATCACAATCATAAATTATAACCTGCAAATCTCTTCGGTGCAACCCAGCAAGAGGGAAGTCATATGATGTACGGCAACCACTGGTTGCCGTCCCGTACACGTTCTTCCGTCTATCGGGCTCACTTACCTGCTGCGCCGCCTGATCACTAAAATTAATCGGCCGTACAGGTCCCCATTAGTAGTTCCCGTACTACACTCACCCACATTTAAACCTAAAAAAGGTTTAACACGTTTAAACATAATAACCAAGTTACAGATTTGATCCTCTCTCTCACTTTCCGGGGGTGCTGCAGGCCGTTAATGACCATTGCAAGCAGAAAGGGGTTCGTTGTGAAGTTCCCGTAAAATCGACGCTGGAGGAGCGCGTTGCAGCTTTGCAACGCTGTGGCTTTGCTACGTGTGTTTGCGGCAAGCTGGCGGCTCGGATGTGCTCGATGCTGCTGTGCAACGAGTGCTGCCGGGCGTACGACAGCCGTCAGGTGCCGTGTCCCCGGCACATGGTGGCGATGTAAGCGAGATCAAGGAGCGATATGTGTGGGTTTCGGAGCTGCCTTGTGCGGAGTCACAAAATCCCCTCCTCCTCCCGCCATTGGGTGGTCGGGGAGCTCGGCTGCTCCTGCTGTGGGAAAGCCCCCCCCCCAAATCATGGATGGATTCCGGACATGAAAAGGGGTGTAACGTTGGAGTATGAGTTTCGGAGTGAATGGGGTGTTAGGATATAAAATGTATAACCACCCTGAGGTACTGCATCTGGTACGGCATCCGGTACTGCATCCAGTACTACCACCCGTACCGCATCCGGTACTGCATCCAGGTGGTTTTCATCTGGAAAGTCATGAACTGCGGAAGGATGCAGATAATTGCTTGCGGACTGCTTGCAGTTTTGTTTTTGATAAAAAGCCATGTCCTCAATACCTTAGAATAACGGGCCGTACTCGTGCCTTGGCTTGTTGTATGATTGTCGTGATTCATTTATATGTAGACTCAGAGAAGGATTTCGGGAGGTGGAGACCACTTTACAGAATACAAACAATATTGCAAAGTTTGGTTTCTTGCGCACGGATTAGACCCACCATGGACCTCCATGACGAGCGTCACACAGAGGCACCAACACACATGGTGCTTGCATAAAGCTCGCGCAGTGAAACCTTAACCCTCGATCCTTGTGGGGCTCGAACCCGCAAAAAGACTGCTGCATGGAAGATGTTATTATTGTATTTCTGGTTTAATGCGCGCGGCGCGGGTAGCGACTCCGTTAACGACTCTCCAAGTTGGGGGATTGCACCACCTTCCGCCGCGATGGATGACCTGAATCCACTTCGCTTCACACCAACTTAGAACAAAAGCGAAAGACTAAGATAGAACAAAAGTGGAAGCAAAAGATAGCGAGATATGTATCCTAATTTTCTACGGAAAGCGGCTTTGAAGGGGTCAAGCGACCTTGTGTACGTTTTTATTGTGTATTATTGTTTTTATTGTGTATATATTGTGGATGTTGATATATTACATATCGCTGGCCGTAAGCCTGGTGTGCGAAAACCTGTTGGACGAAGAGGGAGGTAGAGGAAGAGTCTAAAGTGCGATGGAGGACATGAGCTGATAAGCAGGATTTGGAGAGCTTTACATTATTAAAATCTGATTGTTCGGAGTATCTGGATCTACCAGCCTCGCAGTATCTTCTCGCCGTGAGAGCTGCGTCCAAATGACCCACGGGTCGTTGCGTCCTGCTAGCTGGAGTCGGTCGGACCTCTCACCCGCACCTCTGCGCCCGCACCGATGACTGCTTGCCTTTATGCAATATCCTTCCCTCCTTTGAAGTGGTGTAGGATAGTATGTACATAATCTTTTTTTATCAAACAGACAAAAGACAGGAAAGGCGTAGGCGCGGCTCAGCTGGTGTTGCAAAAACAAGAAGCAAAGCATATTCGTGATATGCAGGCGCGCAAAAAAATACAGGAAAGGATTGTAAATTTGGAATGAAGGCAAACTTTATGCCGGTCCTGTTGTTGGTCGTGGTGATGACCACCGCTCCTCAGCTGTCATCGGCAGCGACCGCGGGAGCTAAGTCAAATGCGGCCTTGGCACCGGAATCTCCGGAGCCCAGGACTGGTAGGCAGAAGGGTGGGTTGGCATGGAAAAGGGACCCGGAGCAGGTGGGCTGTTCCCTGTTTTCCTCTGGATGGATGGAGATGCCATCGATGCTTCCAAGGAGGTGGCTGGAACAGAGCTCCAGCATCATATGCATATCCATATTCAAACTACAGGTGGATCAAAATTGTTGTGAGAAATTTGTGGCTAGCTAGCTAGCTGTATCGTCTGTTAAATGCTTCAGGGTCTTGCATGTTGCTGGGTCGTATCGACAAAGCTGTCTGCCAAGCAGCGGTAGGAGGAAATCAATAAAAGCTGGTGCAAACGCACCTCTTAGGCCTGGGAACGCCTCTGCTCCTTTTGCAAGCGGATACATACTGCATGTACACCACGCCAATGTCCGCTGCCGCAGTTCCCTCAGTAGTGGCTGCTCTTGGCGATGTTGATATAGCTGCCGCGGCTGCACCAACGCTAGCCGTGCCATCTACAGCACCAGCAGCAAGACCAGCAGCAACAGCAACACCAGCAACACCAGCAGCAGCAACACCAGCAGCAGCAACACCAGCAGCAACAGCAGCAACAGCAGCAACAGCAGCAGCAACAACAGCAACAACAGCAACACCAGCAGCAGCAACAGCAGTAAGAGCAGATGATGATGGCGATGATGAAGAAATGGTGCCAGACAAAGGGCTGAGTAGCGGAAGAGATGGGAGAGAAAGTGGGTTTCGGAGGCAACCGCCCGAGCACGACCCAGCCGGGCTGCCCCCGGGGTACGAGCGATGGAACGGAGGGAGAACCGGTGCCACATCGGAATCCTCGTACGGCAGCTCGTACGACGAGAGCACGGTAGCGACAGGGGGTCCAGCATGCAACACCGCGCAACGATGGGAGCCAGTACGAAGTACGGCTCCGGCGCCGCCAGCGGCGGCTGTTGCTGAAGGAGTCCTTGGCCGCCGGGGCGGCCCTTCCTGCCGTACAGTTGGTCCTTCAGCAGCGGCAGCGGGGTTAAAGGGGGGGAGCGGCGGTGCAGCTGGCGAAAGCGGGCGGGGTTTCGGGGCCCCCTCCCCCTCCCCCTTCCCCCCTTCTCCCTCTTCCTCCGTGTTGCTGGATGACGTGCCGCTCCACAGTACGGTCATGTACGTGGAGAACCTTGGGACATTCGTTCGCAGGAGGTAGGTCGGGGGGGAGGGGTTGGGTTAGGAAGGTGTGTAAGGTAGGGGAAAGATGAACCACGAACTGTAAGGTAGGGGGGATTTGTAAGAAGCACACGGACTCTTTGCCTTTACAGACATACAAACATACACACGCGGTTCCGGGATCGAGACCTGTCAGGGTCGAAAATCCTTCCGATGGTGGAAGGTAAGAGTGCCCCTAGTCGATGGACGGTGGTGACCCGGGATAAAGTTGACTCGCGAGCTGATCAGGAATAGAGTTGGGACGCTGTTGAACCGGCAGATTCCGTTGTATGCTGGTGGTGGGTGCTGGACCTGAGCAATCCATTGAGAAGTTGACTAGGGTGGCTGGATGAGGGTGCCCCGAAATACCGGGGAAAGCAGGGTTTCGCAGGGTAGCTGCCATTGGTGAAGATATGAACCCCCTGTTCCACACATACATACAAACGGGCATGCAGGTGTACGCAGGTGTATACAGCTCAGCACTTGACCTGGCCTGGCCTGCAGGCATCCCAATCGCATATCGCCCCAAGCGGGCTTTGAGTCTGGCGGCAGTGGCATCGGCGGCGTCGGTGGCGCCAGCAGCGGCGGCGCCAGCAGCGGCGGCGCCAGCAGCGGCGGCGCCAGCAGCGGCGGCGCCAGCAGCGGCGGCGCCAGCAGCGGCGGCGCCAGCAGCGACTTGCGGTCAGCGGAAGGGCGTCATTGGGCCACTGACTGGCTGGCGGCTGTAGCAGGACGAGTCGTACGGCGGCGGTGTACGGCAGAGAGGTCGCAGCTCACTTCTTGGGACGAAGCGGGCGGCGGCGGGGCTGATGGGGGCGACTGCACCCACGCGGGAAAGAAGGACGACGACGACGACATCGTCATCAGCGGCGGCGGCGGCGGCGACGCCATCGCTACTGGCGGCAGCGGCGGCGGGCAGCGTGGCCGCCGGCTGACTCAGTCATCCGCTGCACAACAAGGCTCCTCCGTAGGTGGGTTGTGGTACGGCAGTAACGCGCTTCCGTACATTTCGTTTCACCGTCCATCTGTGTATTCCTGTCTTCTCTCCACCATCTCTCATACCCTATATATCCAGGTGTGTCATCTCCATGAGCCCCTTCCAATGGCATTGCGTTACATTCCGTTACCAACCACATCCCAACCACTTCCCAACCAGATCCCAACCACATCCCAACCACTTCCCAACCACATCCCAACCACTTCCCAACCACATCCCAAAACATTATTGTTCCAACATTTTGTTGTTTCTCGCACCGTCGAACATGTCCCAGTTCCACCCCCCTTCCACTCCGCCCCTCTTGCCTCCCCACCTCCCAAGACAACGCCAGCATCACGTTCAACCCCCGACTGGCGTGCGAGGGCTGCCCCGCGGGCGACCCACGGGTCATGGTACGACAGCCAAACACACCGCCCTTCGCAGCAGTGGGGCTGCTGGCGCAGGAACAGCGCCGCTTCCTCAGCGGGTGAGTGTACGGCATCTTATCGGGGTGAGTGTGCGGGATGCAGGGGATACAAAGCGGTCCGTGCTGTGTGTCTTGTGTGTGCGTGTGTCTGTGTTTTTCCTGTCGTACGAGCAAGAGCCAGAAAACGAAGCCCCGTGATACCAAGGGTCGGGGAAGCTCTGGACCTCTGGCACGGTGTTTTTGATTTTTCGGGTGACGGGTTGCAGGGGGGGGAGGGAAATGCGGGGGATGTTGTGTTTTGGAACCCAACCCACCCCGGGCGGTACTCCTTTCCCTCCTCGCCTTCCTCGCCCTTCTCGCCCTTCTCCCCCTCCTACTACACACGAGCAGCAACCCGAGGATGGCGGGGGTGGGGGCCAACGACGGTTTTTTGACATATGTTGAAGAGACGCTTTCATTACGAAAGCTCTCTCGTCGGGGCCCCCCCCCCACATACACGCACACACGCACACACACACACGCAAACGTGTGTGTTCCGTTCCCCAAGGGCACCCAAGGATACCGCCACGCCCTGTGTTTTGCCTCCGCGCAGCTCCGTATCTCAGTGTACGGCAACCCTGATCGGCCCGAGCCATCTGCTCACTGCCGCCCACTGTGTCGTGGCCCCAGACCGGTGGACCTTCATTGAGCAGGTACGAATAATACGAGGGAGGGCGGGTTTAGGGGTTTAGGGGGAGGGGGACGGGGGGAAGACGAACCACGAACGAGTGAAGCTGGGGAACGGGGGGGGAGGGTGTAAGGTGGGGGAGGGGGAAGAGAGGGGGGGACTACGTACCTGTGCCT